CTCTATACTGATTTTTGCCAGAAGGGTCCCCTTTTGCACACCCATAGTTCTTCATTTGAAGTGAAAAAGACTTTATCCAGTTTCCTGAGCAAGGGCAGTAGCAGTGAGGGGTGCTCACCAGGGGTGTGCTGGAGAGAGGCAGCACAGCCTGACACACCTGTGTGTGTGTGAGGAAATTGTTCTCTGTGTGTCTGTGGACTGTGGATGTTTGTCTTCTTGTAGAGAAAGTTGTTTCACATTTGTCACTGGTAAGTAGCTTCTTTTAAATATTTTTTTTTTTTCAAAATATTTGCTGCTTTTTAGTTCTTACCTTAAGCCAAACCCAGTTCACATGTCTCTGGGTGTAACATTTATCCTCTTTCCTAAATATCAAATGTATTTATTTAATATTTTCTCGTTTTGCAAAGCAAGGCAAATAGTTTTTTCCAAATAGTTTCTTATGTAAGATATTGGCATCACGAACTTGTGTGCTGTTGAAAAAGCCTTTTTTTTTTTCAAATGTATTGATGTTACACTAACCCAGTTTTCTGTGTGTATTGTGAAATGTGAGAGGAGTGGGGACCTACTGTTTCAGGGTTTTCTCTGCTGTTACAAGAGGGGTATCTACAAACACCTATAAATGATGCAATTTCAAGGGGTTTGTGGTGAAGTGCATTATTGGAGAACATCATAAAGGCAAAACTATCACTGCCAAATAATCTGAATGCTAGCTTTTTCCCAAATAAGTTCATATTGTTTCATATTCAACTACTCCATCCATTGTGCTCACCAGTAACTGCCATTACATCCCCAGTACACCACAAAGTATGTTTTATGGCCAGGACCTCTGAGAAGTGAGTGCTCAGGGATGAGGTGCTCAGTGTGACAGATACCTGTGTGCTCCCATCCCTGCAGAGCAGTCGGGCATGGACAGGTCTGCACTTGTGTGTGGCTGAAAGGCAAACCAGGCACAAAGCAGGACTGGCAGTGCATGTTCTTTCCCACTTGGCTTCCTGGTGCTCTTCTACTTCTCATGAACACCCTTTCTTCCTCCTGGTCCGAGTTGATCTTTGTCTGGATTCTGTGCACATTCCAGTTCTTTTGTTGCTCCTGTGTGTCATCTTCAGTCAATTTTTATAGTCAGGATCTCTCTTTCGTTACTTTTCTGTTACTCTCTGAGTCCTCATCAGTGTTCTTCCAGTTTCTTTATCCCAGCCCATCTTTTTCTCACTGTTTTTCTTTATCTCTCACTTGCTTGTTTCTGTCTCTGGCTCCTGGAGATGAGAAGCACCTCTGCTCCATGAAACACACATCAGCTCTTCAGTGCAGAGTAGGAAAGCACCTGGCCCAGCCAAAGCCCTCTGACCAACCTCCCTCATGTCTGTGAGAGGGTAGAGATGGCACACTGGATATCCTGGGCAGTGGCTCCATGCTGGAGCATCGTGGGCCAGTAAAAATTCAAGCAGCGTTGTTTACAGCTGCTGTCTGGTTCCCAGATCTTGCCAAAAAGAAATACCATATAACCTCTGTCCAAAACCCCTGAGCTGTAGCTGGTCCTGGCCGTGGCCAGGGAGAAGCAGTCCTGGCTCTGTAGATCGTTCCTTCTCTCGTACTAACCATGGCACGACAGGTTCTGTGTGTGGAGCTCACGTTTTATTTCACTTCAGATGCGTAAGAAGGGTTCCGTTCGAGGCACTTTGGCTGCGGACGTCTAGAGGAGTTCTCTGTAGGTTCTGAGGCAAAGCAAGCTGTGTAAGTCAACTGCTGGATGGAAAAGGAGAAGAGGGATTAATGTTCTGATGGATGGGAATTGCTGGCAGAAATCATTCTAATAATCCACATAACATGTGTGGCGTTGCCTTGCTCCTGCTCGATACTGGTGTGGTGATCAGCAGGTGGGACTGACCCGTGGTGCCCAGGGCACACCAGACAGGCACTGCTGCAGGTGCTCAGGCCAGGACAGAATTCCTGCGGTGTTGGCCACCTGCCCTGGTGCCTGTTGCTTACCCAGTGCAGACACCTGAGGTGTGGGGCCTGCTGCCACCACGGCGATGGCACTGGGCCCTGGCACGCGCCCCTGTCCTTCCGGGCACCAGTTGGACACGTCGGCATCGCTTTGCTGCATGCACAGGAGCAGAGTGATCTGTGGACTTGGTCCATATCACTTAGAGAACCTGTGGAGTGTCACCTTCCAACCACTTTCAGTTCTTGAAATCCAGTTCCACCCATTATTTATAGACACTAAACCATTTCCGTAGGAGCAGGTTCTCCAGGAGTTACAGGCTCTTGATGCTTATGCCCAGCACTCTGGTGCTGCTGTTCCACGCAGGGACTGTTGTAACACTGCTGGGAATCCCAGCCCAACGGTGCCAAATCCCACTGATCCGTGTGAGCTCCCCAGCGATGGGGGCAGCTCCCACCCGAGGACAGCTCCAGCTGAGATTCCCTCAGGAGCCAGCATTGCTTTGGTGTGACTTGCTCAGTCCCGGTGGTGTTCCGACAACCCCGCCCTGGCTTTCCCTGGAGATAATTTCCCTGCCTGTTTGGAACTCCCTGTCTGATGAAGGTGCTCATGTGGAATTTGTGTTTTCTCTCTCCGCAGCTGCGTAACCAAGGCCAAGTGAGAGGGACGAGCGCTGCCAATGATGAGTGACGACGGGCGGATGCCGATGCCGGCTCTCGGATGTGTGTGTGGGTGCATGACTCTGTATATAACTAGACACGCACATGCAGACGGAAGGGGTGGTTACAGTGTCTCCGGGTGCTATACCTGTCCTAGCAAAGATTCCAAGGAAACTGCTTTCATTATGTATACCCCAAGCAAATAAAAATCAACTGAGTAGTGTCATTTAAAGGATGAATTTTGCTAACTGGTATGTTCATGAATGTCAATACTGGACCAATTTCTGCCCTACTTGTTTTTTTTTTTTTTTTTTCTCCTGTCCGAGTCATTCTGCTCTAACTCACCCATCTCTCATTGTAAAGAAACACTCAGAGAAGTTAATTTCAGTTTTATGTCTTCCCTATGTGATGAGTTTTGGAATAGGAACAATGAATGTATTTATAGCTATTTATTTCTGGATTGTCATTATCCTATAGTCAAATCAGAAAAAAATTTCTATTAGTGGAAATTGGAAGACTTTTACTGCTGAATAAGTTTAACCCAAACGTTACCCACTCACTGACTTTAAAAAAAAAAAAAATCTTGTTTTATTGGACTTTTGTACATTGAAATGCTAATGGTTTTTCTTCATTAAAATTGGCAAGATTAAGGAAAAATGGCTTGTGATTTATAAAGTAATTGCAACTTGGAATTTTCCAGAAGCTGCTTTTTAGACAAGTACTCTGACAATACCAGTAGAGCATTTCCAGTGTATCTCAGGCCAGGCAGTGAGGAGGGGGACAGCCCTTCTCTCCAGGAACACTCCTGCCTGGGCAGTGACTGTTTTCCAGAGCTTCCCTTTGGAAGCCATGCAAATGGTCTGGATTTCACATACAGCAATGGAATATAATTGTGATTTTAGCTCTTTTCATGTTGAAAATACACTTTGGGAGATGTAGACTTTCAGATATGATGAAAGTTTCAGTCGTAGCCCTGATGTGTTTCCATGCTGTTTGTGAGGGGCTGATGCACAAGAGCTCCTGGGGTGACAAATCCCTCCTGTAGCAAACTCCATAGGGAAAAGGTCTTCAGCGTGTTTAAGGAACTATTCACAGCATATAACAGAGGGATGTTATCCAAATGCTTGCTGGATTGGAGACAAAGTATTTTAAAAGCACTGGTTAGGTAAAGTTCTCTTAATGCCTGGTTTCCTCCCAGCATCGTCAGCAGGGCAAGCCTTGCATGCACTCCCATCCTCGTGTTCTGACGCTCAGCCAGGTGCATTGGAACCATTTTGGACCTGCTTTGCTCACAAGAGGAGGGATCTGATTTCCATTACTCTGAGTGACAAAACGTTCCTGCACTGGCAGGGTGGGCCAGGTGGGCCATGCCCCTTGTCCTGGTGCTGCACGTGCCAGCACCGCCGCGCCTGCCCAGCGCTGGTGCCTCACCTGCGCCATCGCACCCGCCCACCCTCCAGGACCCACAGAGAAATGTGGTTTTGTTCCTTTCTGGGTTAGCAGTTAAGTGGTCATTTGTCCTGTACCACCAGGAGGTGGGATTGGTAAATACACACAGAGACACGGCACACACACACACAGGTCATGGATGTGAAGTGCACGTTCCCAAGAGGGCTGCACACCTGGAACCGAAGGGCTCAGATCTCCTTGGTGCTGGAGTTCGTGTCCCACCGTTGTTAATGTGTTGTAACACAGCTGGTGGGAAAGGGACCCTGTGACTTCCATGGATTTGGATTAGTTGTGAAAATTTGAGAGAACCTTGTAGTGAATGTACAATGTTTAGTTTCCTTTGGCAGTCTCTGGTGTGACTCACGGTAAAGCAGGCAATGAAATTTAATTAAATAAATTTGATCATAAAACGCTCCGTCTCTTGTCTCAGGCATTGGCACTCACAGTTTGTTCCCGAGCTGGTGTCTGGGGTCCCTGAGCTGTGCAGAGGGGTGGGAGTGCCCAAAGGCCACACTTGGGGCTGCTCTGGGGCTGGGTTTGGTTTGGGAGTTCCAGCTGAGCATTGCACATGCCTGGAACCTCGATGCTCCTGAACTGCCACCGTAACAGGCTGGGCTGGCAGAGGTGGGATGAGGCAGCAGGAGGGGGCTGCAGGTGGGAGGTGCCTGCCACGGGGCACTGGGGGTGCTGATGGGGGTCTGGGTGTCCCTCCTGGCTGGTCCCATTCCTGCTCTCTGCTCAGCACAGTCCTGCCCTCTGGGATGAGCCAGCTCCACTCTGGGGTTCTGCCTGCTCAGGTTGTGCAATCACCTGCTGCAAATGGAGACTTGTACGGCTCCTTTGGTAAACGCAGAATTGAATCCTTTCTTTACTACCAGCTTCTTTAGCTTCCAGATGGCAAACCAACAGGAAGCAATGGAAGTGCAACGTAGTTTTGTCATAATGGATATGTAAACGTGATACTTATTCACTGCAATAGACTGCTGTGAACCATATTCCAGCAGTAACCTTTGAAATCCATCACTTGGCTGCACACAAGTGTGGTCTAAAAGGGGCTTGTAAGGAATTTGCTTTTTTTCTGGAGGATTTTTAATTATTGAAAAGAAAGAGGAATGTTTTTCTGTCTTTTGCCTTTATCTGTAGACTGAGAAATGTCAGAAAAAAATCTGTCAAGATTTTGGGTGTGTCAGGATTTTTCCACCCTAGGGCCTTTCTAAGTGTTCTCTGAGCAATCTCAAAATGTCCCATAAGACAACTTACTCTGCATTTCCAAACCTCAGTCGATTCAGCCATGTTTAGGAGCTGCATCATGTACTTACAAGTGCAGTGCCATGGTTTTATGGCAAATCTGAAGCTTGGGGCTGTGGCTGAGGTTTTTATTCAGTTCATGAAATTCAAGAGTCTTCTCCATTGAATTATATCTTGATAGAGACATCAGGAAAATATTTTCTTTGTAGTTTGGTAACTGTATGAAAGACTTTCTACTTGCTTGAATTGATGTGGAAAATGGGGTTTACTCAACAGCATCTAATTGTCAATCAAGCAGAGATTATCCAGAGACTGATAGCTGCTGTCCCTGTCACTGGGGTGTTTGGCCACTGGGGACATTTTATTCTTGGGAGCCTCTTCTCCTCATTACCTGCTCTGGGCAGAATTCAGTGTGCAAATTCTACCATAAACAAAGTTCTGGCACTTGAAATAGTTTAAAAGATTATAATGGTAATGTGTCAAACCAAGGTTTTGGAGGCAGAGTTTCAATGACTTCCACCTGGGGCATCACCTGCATGTGACTTGAGTGAAATCCTGATAGTCCAGTGCAGGGATCCTGTGTCTCCACAGCAGTGGCTGTTGGAGGTCCCAGCCCCTGGCAGTAGAGCTGGGACACTCGCTGGTGTGAGGGGCTGTGGTTTGCTTTGCAATGCACCTGCTGAGAGTCTGGAGGTATTTCTGCCACTGTGTTGTGCCTTTTTTTGCTGGTACTTGTTCTGATACTTTTTCTTGTAGTCACTCTGTTTTGGTGTTCTTTACCCCACTTTTGCTAGATATGCTGTGTTTTTTCAAAACCTCTCAGCAGGCACTGGCTCAGCCCTGGCTGTGCTGCTGTTACCCCTTAGGGCCAGTATCTGCTGAAGCATCCATGCTTCAGAACAGCCTTGGATTCCTCACTGTTGTAAGTGCGGAAAGGTCTAATTTAATTTTAAAATTTTATTTCCTCAGGTTGGAGACATGTTTCTTTCCAGAACACCACCTACCTCAATTCTTTAACTTTTCTCTCTGAATTTACATGGCTTTCCGGTTTAGAATTGCATATCCAAGACACACAAGAAATTCGAGGTATTTGCTCCATCTGAATTTTGTAGAGCTTCTCCAATCCCAGCTAAAATCTCGATATGCTAATTTAACAGATTTCCTAGTTTCATAAGCTTGGGTTTAGCACCCTCTAGAACAGCACCTAATACTGTTGCTCCTTTTGCAAGAGTCTCTGTCTCCCTTGTTTCTCACAGATATTCAGTCCAAGGTAAATTAAGGGAATGTGATTATCAGGATTTTGAAAGACCCAGTAGTCACCAGCTAAAATGTACCACAAAAAGAACCCAGCTACGACAACAAGGGAAGTCCCTGAAAAAGGCTGGAAGCAAAATGACCATAATTGAAATCTGAAAGCAGCAACTTCATAGAGAAGTAAACGAAGAGGCGGCTCTTTGTAAATGATGATCTAAAAAGTGTTCTGGGTTGTAAGACCTCATTTCAAATGTATTCATTAAATAATATTTGAATCATTTAACAGTTTGAACTCTACTGCACTGCTAATATCTTCAGGGGATTTTTTTTCAGTAACAAAGACGCCTTTGTTCCCCGCTCAGTGCTTGGGCTGTGCCTTGGATATTAGTTGGAAACCTGATCGCCCGACATCGCTCCGAGGCTGCGAGTACAATGTGAGTCGTCTGCAACCAGGATTAAATCAGGCCCTTTGTAGGGATGCTGAGGAGCCGCGATGATGGTTATGGACAGCAGGAGGTCGTTAACCCTTTGTGCCTCCGGCGGGGAGATGGGAGGTTTGGGGGAGGCTGTCGGCGAGGTGCAGGGCAGCTGGGGCGGCTGCGTGTACCAGCGAGTAGTGCCCGAGTAATTCCTGCTGGAAAGCAAATAATGCCTTACGTGTGGTGGATGAAATCATGTTGCCTGACCCAGTGCTTGCTGCCTTGGGATGCCACTTCACCACAGTGTGTGGGCAGGGACACTTTGGTTTAAATTGGAAAAGTCAGGACTGCGAGCCAAGGTTCAGCAATGCCTCAGGAACACACGTCATACTGTTAAATCTTGTGAACTAACACAATAAATAATAAATACAGGAGCAGCTTTATTTGCCTGGTGGCTTTGAGTAGTGGACCCTGCGGTCTCAAGTATTCCTCTCACTCCAGGATGTGCAGTGTGCTGTCCAGCCAGGATCAGAGCCCCAGGAACCACAGTGTCCCCCAGCCCTGAGGGCAGGAAGGGGATGGGCAGCAGGAGACAGTGGAACATGGGGGAAGCTCAGACACGCAGCCCTAGGGGAGCTTCTCCAGAAGAGACCAACCTGGTCTCCACTGGGTCACTGCCTGCGAACCAGTGACCTCCAAACCCGCATCCAGCAGCCCCAGCACCATCCTGCTCTGCTAGGGCAGGCAGGCCCTGTCCTGCTGGTGAGGGAGGGGGAGGATGGGACCACAGAGTGTGGAGTCCCACGGGATGGCAGGATGGAGAAAGGAAGCACCAAGGCAAGTGCTCTCATGAAGCTAATGCTTAGGGGAAATTAAGTCATCAGGACTTTATAAAATAGCCTCTGGCTCTCTACTTTCACAGTAGTTCAATTTATAAGATGATGAAAAATGAATTAAGTTTGGTGGTTTGCTGGCATCACCCACACTGAGCCAGACTTTCCACATGCTCAAAGATCATTCCTGGTCCACCATGCTTACATAAATTCCCACCTGGTTCAATTTTAAGAAAACAGAAGAACAAAGTTGGTCATACAAACTCCACCATAAAACACTGAAAAGAGTTAAACACCGATTAGTGGTACAGAGAGGTGCTATTTTTTATTTATGCTTCACTGAGCTATTTTAGGAAACATAAAACTTTTACTGTTCCTGTAACCAAACTAATTCTGTTGTGCTGTGTATATAAAATTTCTTTTTTTTTTTTTCTTTCCCCTCCCCAGCAAAATGTATGATCCTATGGTGTGTGTTTTTGAGATGGGAATTTGAAGGGGAAAAATAAAAGCCCAAAGCAGTGCACTGCAGTGCAGTTACCATGAATGGGAAAAAATGCTTTAGGGTTTCCCGTGTTTTTACCAATGTACAATCTCAGTGTCGTATGATTTTAGCACTATCCTGTTTTTCAGTCATTGAAGTTAGAAAAGCTTAAATGTGTTCTACATGTACACCAAAGTGTCCCATGTGCTGCAAAAGTTTTCACCTAAGTGGCACGAATGGGACCCAATATACTTAATTGGTGAAAAAAGCTCTTTGCAGGAATGGAAAAAACTACTGATATTGTGAAAATATCACAATCCATACTAAGAGACCTGAAAATCGAAACAGGAAAGATACACAGCTACAGATTGCAGTGGTGTAAAGAAACTAAACCAGGTGACAACCCTGCAAAACAACCAAACAGGAAAATCCTTGTAAAGGGCTGAGTTACCAAAACACTCTAGATCCCTGCAGGAAGTGACTGTGATGGTTTTAGTCCCTTAACCCTGATTACTCAGTTGTGCATTTTTTAAAATGGGAAGCAGGCAAGTGTCTGAAGGAGTTTGGTTCAAACTTTGCAGAAACAACATTGTTGGCAAATCTAAGCATGAAATCTTTACACTGGCAAGATGAATGTCTCAAAAACTGAATGCAAACCAGGTTTCACAGATGAAATTGTCTTTAATCTCAATTACAAATCAGTCACTTCCAGACACTCAAGCAGGGAAGGACAAGGAGTGACAGAGGTCGGATCCCTGGAAGTCCCTACCCGTCGCCTTTTAGCACAATGCCCAGTGCCTCCCAGCTCAGCCATATGACTGTGCTGGGAGCAAACCCCTGGGAGCCCAGGAGGCACACGTGTCACAGCCCTTTGCCCACAGTAGGTCCTCCTTCTGTTCTTGGGAGTTAAAGCAGGTGCACAGTGACAGACACCATCCCCTTTGGAGCGATGGCTTCCCTTGGGAACCAGCTCCGTGCTTGCTGCACTCGCAAGCTCATCTAATAATTTTATGTGTTTGCCTCCTGCATTGGTCCTGCCACCACCTTCACTGTAGTTTTGAGAAAGAGGAGCTGCAATGGTTTCCCTAAACTGTTCCAGGCAGAAATGCTGAAAACTTACCCGCCGGAGTTGGAAACCTCTCCTTCAAAATATTCCAATTCCCTTCACTGAATATTTCTGCTAGGAGCAGAAATCCCTGCCAAGAGAAGCCCATCAGCTCTTTTGCAAAGTGGCTGTTGGGAGCCCCTGCTCCAGCGACAGGTCCCATACCTGGTGCTGTGGGGACCCAGTGGTGTTGATGTGGTTGCAGGTGGCACCACAGAGGACGAGCAGCAGCTGCAACCAATGTACCTGAAGCTGCACTAAGGACAGGGCACCTTTAGAGAGCTGGGAGTGCAAACACCACAGAGAACTGAGCTTGGTTTTGCTCCATGGCAGGGTTTAAGAGGCTCTAGCTAAGGGTTAGCTGGGCTAAAGTGTCTCGAGCATATGGGCTTATTTTGTGCAGTTTCTGTGGTGGTTTCTTCGTTGGATTCTCAGTGGTAATGAGCCCACACAGTTGATTGCTGCAGGGAGAAAAAAAATCATTCTGAATAGGTTTGCTGAATAATTATGAACTGAGCTGAACTCTTACATTTGCTTACTAATTGTATGGTCCGTGATGTTTTATGTATGATGCATTCATTTTGTTAAAAAGGAATTTTTTTCTTTTTTTGCTGAGCAGCAACTTTTCTCAGTGCAAGTTAAACTGACACAGTGGAAAGAGCTGGATTAAAGTCTGATGAATTGATGTTGTTTGAATTATTTTTTTAAAAACATCAGCCCCACCATTTGGTTTTCAGAGCTTGCAATATGAAACCTAAAATTGTGCTATTGTCTTGAGAGTTGAAATAAATGAATCCCCTCAACTTTGGATTTGGCAGGCACAATTACTATTGTTAATTTAGAAAATAATCCCCTGCAGCTACAACTATTTAAATAATGCCTTTCCCTGCTTCCCCGAAGATGACCAAAACCCAAAGACTGAAAGTAAAAATGTGTTTTATAAAATACACTTTTCACTGCTCACTACAGTCGAGAGGCTTCCTTCTCCTTGGCTGAGGACTGGGGCCCTTTGTGACGCAGGGAACCCGACAGTGCCGGGCCCAGGACCGCGCTGGACAGCGGGAGCTGCGGGACACGTTGGCAGCCGCAGGGCGAGCTTTAGCTCATAGCACATCCCAGGTTAGAAACAGGGGCTCAGTCGCCTTCCCACATGCAAGCTGGCAGAACTCTGCGGCGGGTGTCGGACCGCGCCATTCCAAGCAACTCATTGCTTTCACTGTTAGAACATTTAGGCTGAAATTATATCCATATTTGCCACTGTCCAGTTATAGACATGGCCTGGCTCCCACTGAAGTCCACAGAAGGAGTGGTGCTGGGGGAGCTGGTCCAAGCCATGGGTGGACAAGCCATCGGGATTTCTCCCTCCAGCGAGCCTGCGGCGGCCCTAGAGGGTGCGGCGCCCGTGCTCCGAGAGGAATCGGGGCAGCCGCCCCCGGCGTCTCCGCCGAGCCCGAGACGCCCCCCGCTCCCGTCCCTGTCCTTCCGCGGAAGGAAGGCGCGGCAGTCGGCCCGCCGTCGGGGCGGACCGGGAGCACGGACCGTGGGGCGGAGCGGGGACTCTCTGCTTGCCGTCTGGGCGGAGCGGGGGCGCGGACCCGGGGTGCGGACCGGGGGCACGGAGCGGGGCTCTGCCCGGCGGGCGCGGCCGGGCCCGGGCGGGCGGCAGAGGGCGCTGTGCCCGTTCGGAAGAGCCGCTCCGACGGCGCGCACGCAGGCGCAGAGGGAGCCCCGGGCGCGGGGCCGCCCCTGCCCCGGAGCCGCCGTGGGTGCGGGGTCCGGGTGCGGGGACCCGTCGGCTCCCTCCTTTCCTCACTTTCTCCTCTCCGTGGCCACCGTCCCCGTAGCGACGGGCGAGACGTCCCCTTCGTTCCTTTGTGCCACGGCCAGGCCGCGCGTGCTTCATTCTCCACCCCGGTGTCGGCCCCGCAGCCCGGGTCCCGCGCACTCCCCCCTCCCACCTTGTCACTTCGCTAAGTAATAATTTCCACGTCCAATTCCATTTCTTTGCCAGTTCTGAAATCTCCAGGCCATCAGCAAGGAGGATAGTTCACATGAAAACTAATTACACAAAATCAATATTTAATCACAGCGCAGCATCCTGATCCTGCAGAAAAAAAATCCCGTTAAAACTCTCCTGCCATATACAAACACTCCTCGGCCGCTTATTTATAGATCTCATTTTTTTGGTGGGAGCAATTTTCATTACTATTTCTTTAAGCTATCGACATGTGCAGCCGCGAGCACCTGAAGCGCCGCGTCCCGCCCGCGGTCTGTGACCCCCCGGGCCTGCGGGTGTTTGTCCCTCGGAGGGAACCGGGCTGTGCCCCCCCGCTGCCGCAGCGCCCGCTCCCTGCGCGGCTCCAGGCGGTGCCCGGCTCGGGGCTGGCGGGGCCGCTCCTGCTGCCGGCTCGGGGCTGCCGGGCGGGTTTCGT